TGTGTGCAGCAGGGGCACTATAATTAGAAATGTGGTATCATACAATATTTGATAACTGGATTGTTGTCACTGAAGTTGTCATGATATTTTTTCTGTGGCATCATTTTTAAGCCTCCACCTTAGTTTATAATACAGATGTACTGTCTTCAGATAACCATCTCCCACCATTAATATTTTTAATTGAAAAACCTAAGAAAGTATTTATATCAGGAGTTTCCCTGCCCCTTTCATAGAGAAGGCCAGAGATCCTGAAGACCATATTTTAAATCATGTTTCCTGCTGATGAGGATATCTTAACTTTGATATATGAAAAACAAAACAAAACCAATTTAAAGTCTAATCCTGCTTTTAATGAACTAAAACAATGTATAGAAAAATCACATTTTATGAATTAAGCATGAAACTAACCCAGACTACTCATGATGCAGTTGGGATCTGTAGCCAGTGTGTTCACTCTGAAAGGCACTATGTGTGCAGAAGTGAGTGGGTGTGCCTGAGGTCCAAACGTTAGTTGAAAAAGTCAGTGAAAAACATTCTGGCATCACCCTCTGGAACATTAGATATTAATATTTTCATTGGTTTGATGATGAAGATTTCATAAATTTTTCAGTTCTCATTTATCTAATATAGCTTCAGAGTGTAATTTTCCCTCTCTGTTGTCTTCCCATTACCTTTCCTGGCCAAAACAGAACTCGACCTCCCTTTCTAGGCATTTCAGGTTTTCGTCACCTCCTTCACCATCAAACCCTCAAAGAAGGAACTTGTCTGTTTCCTTTTCATTAAGAGCCGTCTGTGCTGTGGACTTGAGTGAGTCCACATTACACATGACAACACATAACACATTTTCTCATGTATTACAGCCAGTAGTTGGGCCTTCTGCAATGCTTCACATGGTGGAACTAGAAATTATTCAATTAAACCTCAGTGATTCACCAGTGTTGCAACAAATAGGGCTATTTCTGTAGCAGTTTTGCCAGCCTCAGTAGGCGAATTCCCTCAGTACTAGGGAATAGAGTTGTACCAAAGTACCAATTTTCAAGAGTATTCAGCTGCAAAAATGATACTCCTCTACTTGCAAAAGAACTTGCTTTTGCTATTTTCTGAGATAGAAGGAAAGTGCTTTTCCCATTTTGGAAATCAATAAGGCTCTTTCCCTCATTGCCATGGGTTATTATAGAAAAAACTCCCCTTGTTCCTGAAGATAATGTGTAGAAGATGTCTGTTGAGATGGAGTCAGCGCTGCTCTCCCTGCGGGCAGCCATCTGGAGGCTGAGGACCACGGGCTTAAAGAATGGAAGAGTGTTATTCAGGTTTCTAATGCTCAGACATCAGAAATATTTCTAGTAGTTTTCAGTAGAGCCAACATCTTCCAAAGCCCAGGGTCAGTCCTCGTCATTTCTTATATTATTACACCATTACCAGAACCCATTCTGGGCACTCTTGAGTTCGTTAGTTCAGATTTAACAAAAGTATGTGAGATAACTAATTATACAGCCCAGACTAAGGCCATTGCCCATCACATCACAGACAAGGGATGGTGGCTTTGAAGAGCTGCTTGTGTGGAGCCTTCACTCCATATTGAAAGCTGGAGCAGCACAGAGCAGGGAGCCTGGGCACTCCTGGAGAAGGGGTTACTCAAGTCAGAACTCCTCTACTTTTTTCAATTAAGTGAAGTTGAGCTGGTAATTTTAACTCTGTTTCAAGCTCCTCATCTGTGAATGGGAAGAACATTACTTTACGAGGTAGTTAGGAGTATTAAACGAGATAATATACTTAAAGTGCCTGGCGTAAAGCCTGCCACATTATAGGCATATAAATAGTGGTTGTATGTTCTCCTTCCATTCCACATGGAATCTAGTCTATTCCCAGAGTGTGAGAAGAGGCATGGCTCTTCTTGTCCCCCTCACATGAACTATCAAGTCCTTTTCTTAGCTTTCCCTATTCAGACTTTCTTTCTCATAGAGCCTACTTGTGTTTCTAAGTCATCACCTATGTATTGAATTTTATTTATTATATAATATTAGCACAAAATTAATAAGTAATAGTAATATAATATTAAATGTAGATGTTATGTGTATTTACTAGGACTTATGCTAATTTTAATTCTAAACTCAATAGGAGGTAACCATATTTATGAGTGGTACAGGAAGAAAAGGTAATTCAAAAAATTTAGGGGGAGCACATACACTTTGGGAACTAGACCTTTCTCTCAACAGTGAATCTCAGACTATACTGTTGAGTGCAGAGAAATATTTACCATTCTAGTGTGGATACACCCTCATGTCTAATGTGATAAAACTTGACAATGGAATTTTAAGTAGTGTATCACACGATTTTCTCTTCTAAAGGTGAAAGTTAATTAAAGTACTAATTTTCCCCCCACACTCAATTGAAGTCAAATTTCTTCTTTCCATTTATGCTATATTTACAGATTTTTTTGTGTGGGGGTGAGTTACTAAATACAATCCTATAGAAGTATTATTTTTCACTTAAAACTTCTATATTCATTTCAGTATTCCATTCTGATGAAATCTTTTTGAATTTTAAACTATTCTACACATATACTAGCAATTTATTCTAGTTTTATGTCACCAACTAAATTGTTAAGCATGTTAATATCTTTCTCATAAATATCAATTAAAAGCCTTTGCTTTGGGAAAATTGGGAGCAGAGCTGTTTGGCAAATCATGCGGGGACTGTCCTCGAAGTGGCATTGATTGCCATTGTCCAATTAATACAATACTCTAGGAGTTACTAACCCACTGTATTTTTCAGATCCTATTTTAATTTAGCAAGATCACTAGTGCCTCCTAAAATGCCTCACTGAAATCCAGATGTGATTCATCTATGATATTATCTAGCTACTTCAATCTGTGATAATTTACTCTAAGTGAACCCATGCTGGCTCCTGGTAATCTCACATCCCTTCCTAAGTATTTATAAATCTTGTATTCAATCATTGATTTTCATCTCCTGCCTGGAATTGATTTCTAGCTGACTTGCCTATAGTTAGAAATAACTTTAGCCTTTCCATTTTTACTGTAATTCAAGGAAACTTGCCTATTTTCACTAATAAATGTCTCTTCTTTAAAGGTTTTTTAAAAAGTGATTCAGTTATATTTTTTGCAAGTAATTTTTACACTTTAGAAAATATTTGAAACAAGAAATGTTGGCTATTTTTAAAAGCATAAACCCTCTAGAACTCACTCATTATTGGGAATTTTCCTCCTACACTGCCCCTATAGAAATTATCCTCCCTATCAACCTGATTACATTTCAACCTCCAGAACTTTACATATCCACAAGCACTCAAGCACTTTGCCAGGTTAGTAGTCCCATTGGAGTCCGATTATTCTGAGACGTCATCTTTCACTACCTTATTTCCTTCTCCTTCTAAAAATACAATAGTTTTCTCTGTGAGCTGCCTCCATCTTTCTACGAGCTCTAGATCCTGAGCCTGCCTGTCCAGAGACCACATCCTTAGCTAGTAGAAGTTTTGCGTGTTTTGAGAAAGTTGGGGTTCATCAGAGTTTCATCCCACTTTATTTTATTTTAAAATTTTTGTTGCTTCTATTTTCCTAAATGTTTTTTTTGTGTTTATTTTTTACATTTGCATTCTTTATATTTTCCTAATTTATTTACTTTTTGTTATTAAAATGCCATTATTTTACATCCTTGATAGTGTTTTGATAGTACAGGATCCCCACATCGCCCACCCCCAAGGTTTAGTCACCATAGTCCTCCACCATCATGTCACTCCATTTTAAAGAAACCACCCATCTGAGCTACCCTTGTAGATCACAGATACTTCTTATTTTAACTTCTTTAAGACAGGAAAGGATAGGCATGGTTGAGGTTCTGGAAGCACTGTTGTCCATGGGATTTTTACTGATGATGATTTTATCCTGTATGTGTCATGCTTCCTTCTCTGCCCTACCCCCCCCTTCTTTTGAAATAGTCACATTTTCTCCAGGAGGAATCTTAAGAGTTTGAGAGAGTGTCAAGAAAGTATGGGGCACAGAGGGAAAGAATGAATAGAATAGACAGTGCAGTACATTGAGGAATGTAGCTGCAGTTGAACAGTTCCTTAAAAAGCAGAACTTTTACCAGAATGGCATTTCTATTCATCATCCTTCCTGGCCAAATTCATTTGTTTGCAAGTTCACTTATTCAGCAAAAATGTATTGGCACGTGCAATATTGCAAGTGCTCCGCGTGATCTGTGAAGAGTGCAGAGATGAATGACAGACAACCTCTGCTCTCAGAGGAGCTTCACGAACTGCAAAGGAGGTTTTCTGAAAAGGCTTCATTTCACCCTTCCTAAGTTTCCTGCCGTGTGTGTGTCTGTATCTGCTTGATTTCATGTCCCAGGCACTGAAGAATTGTCTTATTCTCCCACAGCATCTCCTCATTACATCAATCATACTTACTTACCATAGTTATGGTGGTATTTTTTGATTGTTCATTTGAACTTCTCTCCCAATAGATCAGAGACCTCTTGGGGATAGAGGCCGAGTCTCATTAAACTTCATATCTGTATTTCCTGGGAACCAATAGTGCACCTGCACCGTGATAAATACTTTTACAAATGTTGGGGAAAAAAAATTGCATCTTATCTGGAGATGAAAGAACATACATGAAATGAAAATGTCCTGAAAAAAAGGGAAACCTAGTTGTTAAGTCTGTTATGCCAGAAAATAGCGGTCTGACATGTGTGCACTGTGTGTTTCTGCACCTCAGTTTCTCACCTGTCCTAGAAGGGAGTTCGATTAGGTGATGCTTTCTAGACGAAGAATTGCATTTTAAATAACACTAAGGGCAGAGAAGGAAGAAAAAAAAAGAATCTACGACCACCTGACCCAGTGTGAACACCCATCTAGGTTTTACAGCCAAATAAAAATAATCGGAGTGTCAAAAGAGATCGCTGCAAACCCCCCTGACGCACACGAAATTCACAGGCTCCATTGACAAAAGTGACTTCCCACGCTTTGCCCACAGAGGGCATCCCTGCTCATTGATATGTAGACCAGGCGAATGCAGCTGCTGGAAGCCTCCTCCGACCGCTCTTTTTTCCCTTCGCCGGCATCTCTCTGCACCCCCTGCGCCCGCCCCCCTTCGCGTGGAATCTTTGCCTGATCCAGTTCGTTTCCCTCCGGTCTCCACATTTTCCCTTCCAGCCCATCCACTTCTCCGGATCAATGGATAGTAAGGCTCCAACTCCCTGCTCACACGCCGCTGGCGGACACCCCAGTAACAAGTGAGCGCGCTCCACCCCGCAAACCCCTCCCGCCTCCGCGCGAGCCTCCCTCCGACCGCTCGCTCCCCGAGCAAACACCAACAGCATCTCCAGCTCGCGCGCGGATTTTTTCTCTGCAACTTTACCCAGCCGAGGACATGGAGCCAACCTCCACCTTTTAATGCACAGCCCAGACGCAGGATTGCTTTCCACCTTCTCTTGGTCCCTCCTGGATATTCTGTTTATTGATGGTTCGCCAGCCCCGTGGACAGCTGCCCTCCCTCGTTTTGCTCCCTCTGGTTCCTTGAGTTAGTTTCCCAAGATTTTACCCGGACTCGGGCTCTCTTGGACCTAATGGAACTTTTTCCTGCCTCCTTTTGCTGCTGATTCTGGACGAAGAAAAAGGCTTCGGAGGCTTCGGAGGCGCAGGGGAGGTGGATAAAGAGGTGGAGGAAGGGGCCGAGGAGGAGGAAGCTGAAGGGGCTCAGCGCGTGTGTGTGCATGTGTGCACGCGTGTGTGTGCATGTGTGCACGCGTGTGTGTGCATGTGTGTGAGCGCCGCCGCTGCCCACGACCCCCGGCCCCGAAGGTGTTGGCTGAAATATGGAGAATAGTCTTGGATGTGTTTGGGTACCCAAGCTGGCTTTTGTACTCTTCGGAGCTACCCTGCTCAGCGCACATCTTCAAGTCTCGGGTAAGAGATTCCTCCTTTCTTCTCCTCACATAGCTGCCCCCCCACCTCCTTAGCCTTCTCGTTTCATTTGGCAAGTAGTGGAAATGGGGAAAAACGAGGCATAGCAAGATATTACCCGCCTCCCCTCAATTTCCCCACCGGTGATAAGAGACGGGGGAGACTTTTTTTTTTTTTTTTTTTTTCCCTGGGGGTGGAAGGTCTTAGGATGCTGGTGCTGAGGAGAGCGGCGCCGCTTCTCTCTTTGCATCTGATGCTTCTCGGAGCTTTGCTTTTGCAAATACTTGGGTTGGTTCTGAGAGCTGGCGGAGCAGCAGGGCAGGGGGGAGGCAAATGATGGGGATGTCGTGGGGAGGAACTGGATTTGATCCTTAAATGTTCAGAAACCTAAAAAAGGACAGAATTGGGGCAGCAGGGCCAAGCGGAGGAGGGCATCGAAGGGACTTTGAGGGGCGTCTGATGAATGTGCACGGCGGGGCTGAGTCGTTGTATGTGGCTATATGTGCCTGAGGTTGGGGTTTGTAGACTTGCTGATCTAGAATGGAGACAGGGGCAGCCTATGCGTTTGGGTACTTTGGAGGAGTGGATGGTGGTGCCTAATGAGGCACAGAGTTGCCAGGAGGAAGGAGACGTGTTTTATTTTATTTTATTTTGTTATCGGTGAGCGCAGTTGGCAAGCCGCGTCTCCAGATACCTCCAGGACACTTTCAAACTCCAATGCTTGATATTCCGTGGGACTGGCCCACTGGACCTGGCACTTGGAACGCGCAGTTTTCTAATTAAAACCAGTAAAAGTGCTTGGGAATTGGATTGGATTATAGCAGGCAGAAGAGGGATCTGGGGGATGCTTAGAACTGCTGCAGTTTTGGAATACGGAGCTGGGGGCTTCCATAGCCGAAATAAAAAAAAAAAAAATGACTCGTTATAATGTCCACTTGGGCAGGCTTACCTACAAGAGTGGAAGGGCACTTGGGTACAGCGAGTGGGTTTGCCTGGGACGGAGGGCAGAGCAGCAGGCTGAGCATTGAAATCCCGTCAGAAACGATCTTTTTTCAAATTCAAAAGAAAAGAGCCGCTGGCAGAGAGGAGGCTTTGGGTAGTAGCGTCCCAACCGACACCCGGGAAATTAACAAGGAATGGAATGTAAATGATGGCCCAACCCCAACCTACTGGGAGCCTAAAGCTGGGGCTTTCTTACTCCTGCAAAGTGCCTCCTGACCGAGGGTTGCCAACGCAGAATGCACCTCTCCCAGTCCCTAGGGTTGTGGAGAGTCAAATCTTGCAGCCAGCTGGAGGCTCCCCAAATCCTGATGCGGCCACAGGCAAGCAGGAATCTGAGCATCCACTCGGACCTGACTCCACACCATCCTTTGGCCAGACAGAGGCAGCGAGCTAGCAAGCCAGAGATGTGTATCTGTGTGTGCGTGTGCGTTAATGCACGCGCGCGTTTGCGCGCGCACGTAACCGAATCCACGCGCCCTGCAGCCCCCGTCCCTCCCTCCCTCTCAGGCCATTTCCTCCTCCCTTGACTCCCCTCTCCCGGAGCTTTGTCCTCGGCAATTACTCCCCTGGAAGGTGGGCGGGGTGGGGGGGGGCATCTCCTGCAGTAATGAATAGGTGTCTTTTCTGAATTCTCTCCTCTAGACCTGCAGATGCTAGGCACTGCAGAGAGAAGGACCCCTCCTTCTGCATTGAAGATTGACTTGTGCTCTTTGGCAGTTTGGGAGACCGCCAAGGAGGGGAGAAGGGAAGTTCAGAGGGGACACCCTTCAATGGGAGAAAGTCTGCAGGTCCCAGCCTGAAATGCATTGGCTGAAAATATTGCTTTAAGGCAGGTGTGCCAAAAATGAACAATCATGTTTTGTCAGTTACACAAAAATAATTTAAAGTGACTGGGGAGGAAGGAAGGGGTAGATAAATGGAGATGGATTTATATGTTTTACTAATGTCTAAATGCATTAAATATACCCCTTGTTTAAGTTTCTCGTCTAGAGAGCTAGAAGTATATATTTTAAAACGTTTCACCTCATCGGATAAGTCTGTGTTTGAAAAGGTAAACAAAAGTGTACATATAGAAGGCACATGCCTTTGCACAGACTTGTGGATCTAAATTTTTTAAGATTTTCTATACTTCTAGATGCATGTGTGTTACTTGCAAATGTGATATCATTTGCACAGGTCCGAGAGAATGGATGGTGCACTTTTAAGATCCAAATTAATTCAAATGACTGTGGTCTTACTAATCTGTTTCCTCTTTTTTCCCCTGTAGTAATTTCCCCTCTTCAGACCATGGCAGGGAATTGCTAAAACAGTTCACTCTGTGAAAGGACCAGTAGGAGGTGCCCTTAATAAGGCCAAGTGTCTATCTAGCTTACTGGCAGCGAAATTCCCATTCAGCAGGATGTTTTAAAGACTGTTGATTGGTAACAAAGGATTATGGAGACTAGCACAATAGCACTGGATATTTTCCCACTTTTTAGATAAAGCCTGAAGCTGCTGCAGATATTTATGAAATGGTATGACATGACAAAAGGCATCCCTGAACAGTATTATCAGCAGAGGATGAGGACTTAATGCTGGAGGAGGAAGATAGGAACCTTTTAGTTGACTTCTGTAAGACGCTGTCTTACACCTACTTGAGCCACAAGCAAAGGCACTCTCAGATGAGATGAATATATTAGATGGTAGTGAATAAAATAGCAGACATACTTGTTAACTAATTAGCTCTCCATGTAATATGTATGGGTTACATTCTATTGAAAAAAATATCTATGCGAGTTTATGCAGTTGAGTGAAATGAGGCTTGCTGCCTTCCCTAGCCACCTACTTCTCATCTCTCCCCAAGCAAAGTCCGTCCCATACCCTTATCTGGGTTTGCAGTTGAGTGGAGCATGGCAGGACTGAGGTCATCTGGGCAGCCTGCTGTCCACTCCTTTGTGAGTGCTGCAGCATAAATCACCTGTGACCCGTCACAGCATCCATTTCCTCAGAGCAGCAGTTGCCCTCTGAGTTATGGCGCATGTGAAACAACCACATGTGTGTTATATGTGAATATATTAGGCTTAGTGCATTTGCTTTAATGCTCTTAAAAGCTGGACTGGCTTGAGCTGCTGATAGGCATTTATTCTGGGGAGAGATTTATAACTTCTCACTGTGTATGACTTATTTTTTTTTTTTTCCTCTGGCAAGTTAACCTCTCAGCAAACTTCCTTATTGTTTTCATTGAAGAGGAAAGGTTTTAATCCCCTCTAAACTCCTGAATGAATCCCTGCTGAAGTTTCTCCTGCTGTAGGGAGTATTTGCTGGTTGTGGTATGGCTTTCCCAGCCAATGGGAGACTGAAAGAAAAATTGGGGGAGTGACTTGAGAAAAAGGATATGGTTATTTTGCTTCTGGAGAGCAAAGGAATGGCAGGGATGGCGCTGCATCTTTGAAGGGAATCCCAGAACCCCAGTTATCCTCAAAAGCATATTTTATAATGGGAAATGGCTCTTCCTGACTGAGCTGCTTCCACACAGCCAGTAGACTGAGTTTCTTCAAATTTGTGTGATTTGTTTCTGTTTTCTGCTGCCCGCTGTGGAATCATCTAGTCCTGTGGCTCTTCTTTGGAAACAAGCCCTGATTTAAATCTTGGTTTCCCCACTGAAATACTTTTTATCTTACATGGTATCACATGTTTACAGTCAGGGCTGATGTTTCTAGAGAGAATTTTTTTTTCCTGTATAACACTGTGTTCTCAGATTACATTTTAAAGCAAATCTTATTATTTCTTGGAGAATTTGCCATGCTTAACTTTCCACGTGAGACTTCTTCCTCAGGCACCTACCTGGCAGGACAGCTCTATTAGAAAAGAATGCAACAGTTTTGGAGCATTTTCTTAAATTAAGGCAGAGTCATATCAGCACAAAGAAGAGAGGCTTTCCACCCTCTGTGCCATGTCCCCAAATATATGACATTGGGGTGAACTGGAATAGTGCTAATTACATGCAGACTCTCCTGGAAAACATTGTGATTTCTCCAGTGAGTAAGCCCTTCATGCCTGGATAGAGATCTCTCCACTTTCTGTTCTTCTGGCCTGTCTTGTTCTTAGAATCTCGCACCAAGTCAGAAATACATTGCCCTGCTTTGATATTTGTTACATGACTACCAGCTTATGATAAAATTTTGATGGATTAATACGCCTCAAATGATAATCTCTTAGATGAACTCTATTCATAAATTTCAAGAAGCCTTAGTTTTGCCTGAGTAAGAAGAATAATGACATAAATCCACTGAGGATTACTTGATTAATTAACTAAAGATTAAAAAGTCACTGGATTCAGGAAACATACTGTAATCCCTAAAGTGGAGTGATAAATACTAGGCACATTTACAATTCATAAAATGTCAAAGTGGAACCACCTCCCCCCCTCCCCCACTCCTACCCTGTCACTTCATGATGATGTTCCAGAGGAGGATTGAAGAGTTTCATGAATTGTCACAACAGTTGTACCTTAATGAATTGTAGCCTGAGATCTCACTAACTCATGATTGAAACACACTGAATTAAATATCAACTCGATGCCCGATGAATGGTTCTGCAGCCTGCTCTTGGGCTGCCTGCTTCTCTCTAACCTGTCTCTACAGAATTCACAGCTCTTGTCTGTAAACTGCATAGCATCAATGCTGCCTCCCTGGAGACAAATCCAGGAAAGGCTTTCTCACTGTGAATCCGAGACTGATCCCCAGGCAGTGTGTCTAACTTGCTGGATTAGACTTTGCAAGGTCACAAGGATTTGCCTTAAAAACAAAATTTTAATTTTCATGAGTGTTTCTTTTAGCGGCAAGTTAAAGCTATACTCTAAAGCTATACTCTAAAGCAAGCTACGTAGGACTCTTACCATCAGAGACTCTAGGGGCCTCCTAGGTAGTACTATTGGAATTCTAGAACTCAGAGAGGAGTGGGCTCTAAGCTAGAGGAAAGTAGACCATGCCAAGCTGGGTGTGCTGTTTTTCAGAAGGGTG